CTCCCCCATGGCTGGTGAGGAAGGGTCGGTGCTTGCTAGAAGAAAAAAAAAGGAAGGAGAGGCTGGAAAATGAAGGACTCAGCCAAGCAGCCTTGTTGCTAGGTGCTGGATGTATATCCTGTACATATGACCATTTTATGGATAAGGAGAAAAAAATGTGCCCAGGAGAACAGCCACAGCTGATGGGATCTGGGTGGAGAACAAGGGCTGGTCCAAACAGCACGAGCAGATAAGACCAACAGCTGCCCCAGACAACTGGTCTCACACAGAGGTGATGCCACTGATAAGCCTGAGGAAGAGCAACACAAGCAGAGGTCAGAAGACGGGATGTGATACAAGCCTTTGAAGACTCCAGCCTGTACAAAAGCAGCATTTTTGGGGGTGTTTTCTGCACGTGCATTGGACAGAATCCCAGCTCCACACCCCAGTGCCTTGGCTGGCCACCAAGCTGCACTGCAGGCAAGCAAAACTGGTGAACCACAAAGCAGCTAAGAAAAAGTGAAGCAAGAGAGCTTGTGTGTTTGTGCTTGCAAGCAGTGCTAATGAAGAACACAGATGCTCCTCCTCTAACAACCTCACCTACAAATACTTGAAGTATTAAGAATTATTAACACTGGTTGTTACATTCAAAAGCTAAATGCATAACATCCAGGCCCCCAGCTACTGTCAGGAACAGTGTTCAGAGGGCTCTGGGCAGGTACTAAGACTCATGCAAGGAGTTTGCAGCTGGAAAGGAGCAGGATTTTATACCTGCTTTCTTCAAATCTATATGGAAGCCCAAGGCAAGAGCAGAAAAGTCAGCCCCACTTACTGGCTACTCCCAATGGACCAGGGTAATGGAAAGTAAAACAATCCTCCTTTCACCAAAATTATTTCCAAAAACTGAACTGAGAAGTGACTGAGTGGGTTTAAAATGAATTTTTCTAAATAAAAAGGAAAAAAAACACCTCTTGGGGGAGAACTTCTACACCTAGTTTTACATGGAGAGAAAGCCTAACATTATAAAATCACTCAAAAAGAGGGTTTTGCTCTGTAAATGGCAACTCCCTCACTCTTAACTGTAGTATCACAAATGCAATGCTATAATAACAGGAGAAGGAAGGGTTTGAGCAGTGCTTGGATTGCATAGTAGTAGTAATAATAATAATATAGTACTTTCCAACATTGCCCAAATTGTGTGAAATATACCACACCCTGCAGAGTTATAAAAATGGCTGCCTTACACTGAGTGTTATCAACCTCTTTTTGTCCCTGCCAGAGAATAACTGTAGCTCCCTTTGGGATGAAAGGTTCTATATAAAGGAAAGGTATCATTACAATCATGACTATTATTATTGAAATGCAAAACCTGTGAGTAATAAGCAAGTATACATGAAATTTCACAGTTATCCTGTGAACGTACCTATTAATGCAACATTTCTCTCCCCTACCACACACCAATTGCCACAAGAATGGGGAAATGACCCTCCCACAGGTGTCCTACAGAAGCTGCACACTCTTCTAAAGAGCAGGGCTTGTGTTCAAACCAATTATGCATAATAAGCCCCACAAATGTGAAATCCTGGAAGACAGGCAGAGGACAAGTGGTCATTCTCTGCAAGCCACTCGAGACCCCCAAGCACTCTGAATTTCACACCTGTAACACAGGCTGTGGCTGCTCTCAGGAATCACTAGTGACACACAAATGCAGTGTTGGAAAAATGGTCTTCAATTCAACACTGTCCACACAAAGTAAAAATTTATGAGAGCCCTGCAGTCTTTATTCAGACAAGTTTCCAGCCAATTTTTACTATAAAATCCTTTGGAACTCAAACAGCATTTTGTGGTGGTCTCCAGAAGGGCCAGGACACCTGTCCAAATGGTGCCCATGGGCCATGGGGACCCTGTCAGACTGCAGGCAGCTCCAGAGCCCTGCCCACAAACCAGAAACAGCTGCTTGCTGCCCATCTACATTTTTAACCACACTGAAGAAGTTTTCTTGGGAGTGTTCTTAAAAGTAAAACACAGGGGGGAAGAACAGGGTGAGGCAAAGAAAAAAAATCAATGCCTGAACTTAGCTGACAACTGGGTGCAGTTTCAAAGACACATTGAAAAGTCAAAATGAAATCAGGGAACTGGGCACCTCTGTCCATGCCGGCAATTGCAGGGCTCCCAAGAGCCTCTCCCAAGTGCTTAGCCAGGCTCACACTGCAAAAGCACTTGTTTGGGTGCCACCTTCCTCTGCTTTCAGTTTTATGGAAAAACTGAAATTTTTATCAGCAAAGCACAACTGCTTCAGAACAACACAGGAAGAGCCCATGGGGGATTTGAGAAAGTCTCACTTGAAGTGCTGCCAGCACACTTTGGTTCCTAAAGAAAACAAAGTCCCCAGCAACACTGACTCTAACCCATATTGTAGGGACTTACTTACTTTCATTAAAACATCAAAGTACCCTTCTGCATTCCCTGGGCTGATGGGAGTGTAGGCTCGTTGCACCTCCACACCATCCACCACTCCTCTGAGGAGAGAAATACAGGAACCCACTGTGACTTGGGTCATGGAGAGGCATCACCAAGCTTCTGCAGTTCTCTGGGGAGACGAAGGAGGCAACAGGTCCTCTTCCCAGCAGCCTGCACGATGCAAAACATTTCCCTTCCAGAGGTGAAAATCCAGGGGGAACACACTGGCTAAATGCACCTTTTGTTTTCCCGGCAGTGGCCACAAGATGTACCACACATTCAGCTCTTGGGCACATCCCCTGGGAGGATGTTTGAGCTGTTTTGTGAGAAACAGCTGAATGTGCAAGAGCAACAAAGAGGAGAGAAAATGTTTCCATGGTTAAGTTTGCCATCCCTTCTGGGCTGGGGGCTGCTTTGCCTTCTGTGTTTGGACAGCATCTGGTCATTAAATCCTGAAAGCACAGCCGTGCCCGGAGGTTCTTGTCAATATACACTGTATATTCCTGCAGGTTTTCTCTTTCTACAGAATATATCCAGCCTGCTCACTACAGTAATGGATGGAAGTGACCAAAGCTTCTCCTCTGCTGCATGATGAGAGGTGGCTGAAGGGAGAAGCACTCTCAGCAGCCAGCTGCAAACATCAGCTGCTCACTTACAAATCACCTCAGCAGATACAGATCCATGGCACCATAACCTGAGTTTTTCTGTCTGGCAATGATCACCACAGATGGCCAAGAGAGAAAAACCTTTCCCAAGTGGCTCCTTTCTGGCAAGCAATAAACCACATAGGAGGGGTGTTTTGCTAGAAATCAGTCAGGAAATGCCTGGACGTGAGGTGGGTAACACCCCAAGTGCTGAGTTACCCCAAGATACATGGCTCAAAATGTTGAGCTATGGGGGTAAATGCAGCTCCGCCTTCACCCCAACCTGCTGCAGTAAATAATCTGTTGTAACATCTATTCTTTGACTCTTTCTTTCTGCAAATGGATTTTTTTAACCACACCTAGCTCTTTCTGACCCACCAACACAAGGCTAATGCTGAAGAAAAATACAGCCTTGGAATGGCTTTTACCATAAAATTAGCAGAGCTAACGAGCTCACACGTTCTTTCATTTGTGTCATTGTGGAAGCACAGAAATTATGATTTGCCTGGTATGAAGCCTTTGTCTACTGACAAAAACCCTAAGTATTGGGTTACACAATGCAGACTGTTTAACCAGCACATAGAACAATACCTTAACACGATATGTTGTCCTAAACTCAAGTGCAGGCTGCTATTTCCTGGTAATTCAAATTTGTACTGGTAGGTGTCCTCTGTTAGCTGCTCCACCGAGCTTATGTTGAATGCAGTAAATGTATCTGGATTCAGCTCTGAATTATTGCTCTGCAAGAACAACAATAAATAATTACTTGGTTAGATGGTGTCTTTTTATTATTTCATTTTTCTTTGGAAGCAAACGTGTGTGCTAATTCAGTGCCAGAGACACTCAGGGCTCCAGAAGAACACGTATTAAATGCTGAGGCCCAGTGCAAATCCTGGCTCTCTGCTGATTCATGACCATGTTCTGCACTTCGGGATCACACATTTCCCAACCCCCACCTTCCCTCACCCTCCTTTTTAAATTACCTTTTTTTTTTTTGTACACCTTACAGCAAGGTCATCCTTTTATGACTCACCACAATCATTTTCTCCTGTCTGGACACAAGCTGAAACAAAACTACTAGAAGAGCTGAGCACTGCTTTTGAGGGCAACCTGGGAACCTACTGATGACCACTGTGGATGGGAAATGTTGTTAGCTGTTTCAGTGCCGGTCGTTTTTGCTTGGCCCAGCAGAGTCAACTTCATGTAAAAGGGCCCTGACAAGCTTAAAATGAAGCTCTGAAGACAACTGCTCCACCACACACAGCACAGCCTTTTTCGCCCTCAAAGTACAAGTTTAAAAAGCACGAAAAGGTGAGAAAGGTCAGGAAAATGGAGCCTGTCCGAGGAAACAGTCAGAGAAAACGGGGCATCTTTGTATCTTTTACTCATTCCCACTTTCCAGAGAGGCCGGCTCTTTCTGCCTGGGGTACCCCAGCAAGGAGAAGCCGCAGGCCTGGGGCTGTAACGTGACACCAGGGCGAACTCGACACTTGGAAAAATCAGGAGATTAAAGCAGGGAGAGAGCAGGAGAGGGGGAGGGGCGGCAGTTTGGGGAACTGCCTTTAGCGCCTTCTCTCCGGACATCACTTTAATCTATTGCTGCATCCCTCGCCCATCACCACAACCCCACACGGTTAAGTACGATCAAAAGCACTAGCTCTGGGATGTGATGAAGATAAATTGACCTGCTCCTTCTCCTCCGTGAGGAGGCTTTTGTCTTGCTTTGCTTTGGCCCTCGCCCATCGTGCCAGCTTCTTCTCATACACATCATAGATGCAGGGTTTGCAGCCGCTGCCACAGCACTGGGATGGAGAAGGTTCCTGGGGTTTGAGAGCCAGCCAGTCGTCCTCATTTCCACTCATTGTCTGCAAAACACAAGCCCAGCATCAAAACCAGCACGATGATGGCTGGCACGTGCTCATCAGCTGAGGGCCATTTGCAGAAGGACTGAGAAATCTCTCTGGAGCATCTCGCACGTGTATCTCAGGCAGCTCAGCAAACGGAAAACCTGCCAGCTGACCTGGCACCTGCAACATTCCGTTTTTGTTCAAGTGCTCCCTGCCTCTGCCACGTCCAGTCCATGCATGCCAGACATCACAGCCACCCACCCAGAGCTGCACAGCAGACCCCAGCCCCAGGCTCTGCTTCCCAGCCTGGCTGCCTCAGGCAAAGCCACCTCCAGCAGCAGGAGGCACACGTTTCTGCTCGTTCTGACCTGGTGATGTTCAACAAAAGAGCAGCCTGCTCCTGGAGTACAAACACCTTAAAAACCTGAAGCTCAGGCCATGAGAAAGGACAACAGACCCCAGCCACCAAGCCATGCAGCACTGCTTTGCAGCAGGGGGAGGGCAGGGAGCTGAACCTGGGGTTACAAACAAATGAACACTGGTTATATGCAAATCTGAGCTCAGCTTTCAATGCAGACTCGTAGGAAACAGCAAGAATCACAAGCAGTGTGATTTTTATCCCCTCCTTCAGACAGGGCTGTGCTCAAACCTCACGTTCCCCAAATCAAAACCGTGATTCAGACCACTCGGGGACTCTGCTATTTTTACACAGCCCTTTGGCTCAGCCCCGTTCCCAACGCATTTCCATCCACGCCACTCAAACAAAAGGAGGTCCAGAGGAAATTATCAAGCCACGGGTGCCAAGGAAGAGAACACTTAGCACTTGGAGCAGCTTCATTTTCGAGGCGATTTAATTAACTAACCCTCACCCCTGCGACACAAAAACACTTATCCTAACGTTACAGGAGGAGAGGAGGGAACCAAGAGGCCCGCGGCCCTGCCCTGCCCGGCACCTCTGGGGGCTCCGAGGGCGGCCCCGGCTGGGCCGCGAGGGAGCCCGGAGCCCCGGGCTGGGCACGGCTGGAGCTTCCAGCGCTTACTGAGCGTCCCGGGGGGCCGGGCAGGCTC